GAGGCCCCAAGCCTCTCAGACAATGGTTCCAACTCCGTCCTATAAATACAGATTTGATCCTCCCAAATGAGCCACCTTCTGCACTTCGAAGTTTGTGTGTGTGTGTGTGTGTGTGTGTGTGTGTGTTCTCTTCCAGGATTGCTTTTAGTCTTTCATTAACTTCCTCCACCCCCAAAGCTGTGTTTAGGGTGGGCAGGGAGGGGGAAAAAACAATTGGCCAGAGTTAGGGTTCTATTTTGACACTAATAGATGCAAGTAGCACTATAACCAGCCCACACTGTTGGGTTTTTTTTGTTTGTTTGTTTGTTTTTGTTTTATTTTGTTCTGTTGGTCACGGGGCTTGAACTCTGGGCCTGGGCGCTGTCCCTCAGTTCAGCTCACGGCTAGCACTCTACCACTTGAGCCACAGCGCCACTTCCAGTTTTCTGGAGGTAAGAGTTTCATGGACTTTTCCTGCCAGGGCTGACTTTGAACTGCAATCCTCAGATCTTAGCCTCCTGAGTAGCTAGGATTATAGGCGTGAGCCACCGGTGCCCGGTACCACACTATATTTTTATTTGTAAACTTTCCCCAAACTCACCCAAATCAGACAACCTAGAGCAGTTTCCCTCTGTGACCTCAGCTTCATAATCCTGTGGCAAGGAAGAAATGACTAACTCTGGTAATCAGCAACTTCTGAAATGCCCCATGTCCTCACCCTCCCTCCAAGGACTTTTACACCCTAGCCTAATTGCTGCCACCTCTTCAGTGCCATTAGATCTAGTGTTTCTATGGGACAGATTATGGCAAAAATGACAGGATGTCACTTCCCAGATGAGATTATAGAAAGACTGTGGCTTCCATCTGGGTTGCCATCTTTCGCTCTCTTTTGCTTTCTAAGTCTTTGATCTGAAGGAAGCGAGATGCCAAAGTTTGTGTGCTTCACATGGCAAATAATTGATAGCTCTGGTCAACAACTAGTGAAATCCTGACAACTGCCAGCAGCGCTATGAATTTGGAAGTGTTCTTCAGTGGAGCCTTAGGGTAACTGCAGGCACCACCAACACACTAATTTTGGTCTTGGAGAACCCTCCAAACCTAAGGGCCAAGCTAAGTACACCCAAATCTTGACATTTAGAAACTAGGAGACATGGGTATTTTAAGCTGCTAAAATTTTGGCATGTTTTTGTACAACAATAGACAACTAATTCAACTCCCAACCAGCAAGGGAAATGGTGGTCCGATTCAATAAGGGTAGTTACCATATAAATCATCTCTACAGAATGAGACCTATGTATCAATCAAGATTATAGTGTGTGCTTCTTCTTTTTTGGTCTGGGCCTCCCTAACTTTCATAATATTTCAAAGTGTTTTAAGGATAAAAATGTGATCCTCAAGCAAAAATGATCATTAGCCAATAGCAAACTAGAACTAGATATCCCAAGTCCTCAATATCACAATGTCAAAACTATCTGATAAAGTTCTACACTCAGTGCTGGTGACTCCTGCCTATAATCCTTGCTACTCTGAAGATCAAGGTTCAAAGCCAGCCAGGACAGGAGAGTCTGTACTAAAAGATGTCCTTTCTGGTTTTGCATGAGAAATCCTCACAGCTAGACTTTCACCAGAAGATGACCATTGTCAAACTTGGCCTGACATCAGAATGTAAGTCTAGATTAACCTGGGACTTAGCCAAAATAAGTATCATTTGAAAACATGCAGCTAATGAATAGGAGCTAATGAATAGCATCACTTTTCTGTGGATCCATAAGACAATAACGTGAAGAAATTAAAGCCTTTGTTATTTTAAAGGGCAGGGACAATTGGAAGTTTTGCAGCAGACAGTTACAAAATTTTCCACCTCTAGCTTTCCAAAGATGATACCAGTAAATGGCTTTGGGAATTGGGTGTGGAAGGTATTGCTTGGAAAGAAAATTCATCCTTGACAGTGTAACTCAATGTTGCTATACTCATCTTAAGGGCTAAAGAACAGATTGCTTAGCTCTTTTTTTGGGGGAGGGGGCGGTCCGGTCGTAGGGCCTGAACTCTGGGCCTGGGCACTATCCCTCAACTCTTCAGCTCAAGGCTAGCGCTTTACCACTTGAGCCACAGTGCCACTTCTGGCTTTTTTCTTATGTGGTGCTGAGGAATCGAACCCAGGGCCTCATGCATGCAAGGCAAGTGCTCTACCACTGAGCCACCTTCCCAGCCCCGGGATTGCTTAGCTCTTTACATGTGCACTTAACTTTTTCTTATCTACTTCTTTTATTAGTTCCTTAAAATCATAGCATTCTATGTCAGGCAGGGCATGGAAAATTACAACACTGTCTCACAAAGAACAAATTTGTGCTTTTTAGGACTAATTTTGGTTTGAGGACTTTTTTTGTTTGTTTGCTTGTGGTGCTGGAAGTGGAGGTGCTAGGCAATTTTGTACCACTGACCTAACTCTAGACTAATCTTTTAAAAAGATGATTGAGTGAGCTAAGAGGAAAAAACATCTACCTTTGCTTCTCTGCTACTTTGTACTGGTCTGATGTAACGGAGCAAAAAGGACTCACATCTGTGACATTTTCTATCAGTGGGTTTCCTGTCTCAGATGCATAGCTTCATTTTTAAAATTTGAAATTTGTTATTTTGCCTTAGTTTGTCCCCCCAAAATAACATTATTGTCCTTATCACCTAACATCTGAACTGTCTTCAGGCTATAAAATGAGGACCAGAGACTCCAACTAACTGGTGTTAGTTGTATTGAAACAGTGCTTTATCTTATCAGTTTTCATTTTATTTATTTAATTACAGTGCTTGGTATTCCTCCCTCAATAAGCAAAGATGACCTAGATCAGTGGCCTGATGAATAAGCATGAAATTTTGATTTAGAAAAGAATATCCCGAACCTCATGGTGTGAATAAAGGAATCTAACCCCCTCACACACACTTTAAATAACAAAGCAAAGTGGCAGCAATGCTTTTAAACATCTTTCAACACAACACTATAGTAAGCAATAGAATAATAATTTAGGAAAAAAGAGGAGAGCTTGAAAAATTACAAGAGAAGAATATAACATTGTAAAAGAAAACACTGTATCACTGATCTTTTATTACCTTGAGGCAGAGACCAGAGTGAGGGGGAAAGATCCAGTGTGAAAGGGAAAACGATGCTTAGAAGGAAAAAAATAACAGATGGAAAAAAAAATAACATGACTCCTGTTGAGGCCGGATGCAGGATGTGAGCAGTCTAACACCCTACCTGCGTCCAAAGGACTAAAACCTTTAGACCCATTCACAGGAATGGCAATGACAAAGAATTGTGAAGTGGAAGGAAACTTCAGTAACAGAGAGAAAAACAGCAAAAGCCCAACACTGTTAGGAAGGGAATCCAATTCGCTGTCTTAGATTTTAAAATTGGGTTTTTGTTTGTTGTTTGTTTGTTCTAGCTGAAGAAGCTCTTCTGAGGCAGCAACTTCAGCCAGCAAACAACTTGGTCGGAAGTCCCTCAGCCCAGGGCACCTGAACTAAATCCTTTTTAAATAAAACAAAAATTCTGTGTGTGTGTGAGAGGGGCGGGGGGATTGATTTTGTTTCCTTTTCTTTTTCAACACGTCCCCATCCTGCACAGGAATTCTCGATGTTTCCAGTTGACCCGGGAGGACTTTGGAGGGGCCGGTCTGTAACTTTGGACCGGTCAGGAGGAACCGGAGAGCGCGCGCGCGCGGGCGGGCGCCCAGTGTCTGCAGCAGGCTACAGAAGGTTTGACCGAGAACAAAAGAACGTCTGCCTGCTGCAAAAGAACGTTTTCCGATAGAAAACTCTATTCTGAAATAAAGAAAATGAAATAACCCCTCTGTGTTTTGGAAGCCCTTTAATGAACAAATGCCTCGGTTGCTAATTCGCGTTAAAAAAAAAAAAACTTTTCTACAAAGACTCCAAAGGAAGGATCAAATGATGATTTGTGCAAGAGATGGGCTCTGCAAAGGCCACTTCACAATCCAACACAAGGAAGGAAAGCAGGGCCACCGAAGACGCCCAGCAAATCGTACGCAGAGTTCCTGGGCACTGGTCTCAGGTTACTTCTCTACCCATTCGCCCAGCGCAGTCTGAGCTGAAAGCTCACTAAAGCCACGACAGCTCGCTCGCTCGACCCCAGACCGGGCGCGCGGGCGGGGTGGCTGGGTCGGCGATCGGGACACCCCAGCCCCAGGCCCTCTCCTCCGAGGGGCTGCACCTCCTCCCGCCGACTCCGGTTACTCCTCCGAGGCGGCCCTTCCTCCTTTTTACAACTGGGGGAGGGGAGCGAGACGGGAGTGCGGCCCCACGTGTTCTGCAGGAGTCTGGGGAAAGAAAAACGATTTGCAAGTCGCACTCCTTTCTCCTGGTTACTCAAACCTATAGTTAAGAGTCCAGCTAAGCAACCCTTCCCCTGCCACACACGCACGCACACACACACACACACACCACGCGCACACACACACACACACACACCACACGCACACACACGCCGGCCAGGCACGGCTAACGTGTCTCTCTCTGGGTCACGTCTCTCCGCGGAGGCGCTGCTTTGGCAAATGCGCTCTTCTGTTCAGGAATGTGTACTTTAGTGTGCCCGGAAGAGGAGCAAATCTTTCAAACCAATTCCCTTTCTGGTGCGTTTTTCTCTCCCGAGCAAATTCAGGGTAAAAGTTTTTCCTAACTTTTCCCTCCCTGTTCTCTGCCCCTCCCCTCAGGAATCCGCCCAGAGCGCAGCAGACATCGCCTCCCCGCCCCCCCATCCCGCCCCGTTCCCTCGCCAACCCCTTCCGACCTCCACCCAATAGGGAGACGGCCACAGAGAAAACAAAGGCCCCCATTGGGCCTCCCGGGGTCTCGGGGCCCGCCCCCGAGTGGTTTGTGAATGGGGGGAGGGGAGGGGGCGGGGCGGCCCGGAACCCTGTGAGCCCGACGCTTCTCCTGGCCACTAGCACGTCTCCCAGGCGTTACTCCGCACTCGTTCCCGGGGGGCGGCGGCGGCGGCGGCGGCGGCGGCGGCGGCGGCCGGCGTCGGGAGTCGCCGACCGGGGTTGCGCTGAGTTGGAGAGGCCGGGTTCAGGCCTCGGGCGCAAAAGGGCCTCGCAGATTGAGACGCCGCATAACCGGATTTCCAAAAAAGAGCTCGCCCAGTTCCTGGCTCCCGGGCACCGATCGGACTCAGCCACTCGACTGAAACTTGGGGCCGACCTCTGGGGCCGAAGGAGGCGAGGGGGTGTGGAGGAGGCGGCGAAGGAGGGAGGCGGCGGCCGGCGGAGCCTCGGGGCAACGAGACGGAACAGCACCGCGGAGGCAGCGGCGGGGTCGCGCAGTCGGCGGCGCGGGGCTCCCGCCCGGAGGGGGCCGGACTGGGTGCGGGGGGCGTGCGCATTGCTGTGCGCTGGGGGGTCGAGAGACTTGGACAAACTTTGCAGGGTAACCGGAGACGCTTGTTGATCCTCGCCGCAGAGAAAGCCTCACCGTTACGTCTCGCCGGAGACGGGAAGGCGCCTCCCGCCCCTCCCGGAGCCCCTGGCCCTGGCCGACGCGTTTGGGTCCCCGGCGGCAGCGCGAGGGCCCGGCGGAGGCGGCTGCGGCGCCCCCGCGGCTGGCGGCCTCGCCCCCGCGGCGCAGGCACCCCAGCGGCAGCGCCCTCCGCTCCGCGCCGCCCACGGCCCGGCCCCGGCGCCGGGAGGACTCCCATGCGCCGGGCGCGGCGGCGCCTCCCTGCATCCACGCCTCTCGCCCTCGCCTCGTCTCGCTCCTCCAGCTGAGAACGCCGCTGCTCCCGCGGCCGGCGATGCGGGGCTCCCGCGTAGCGGCGTCGCGCTCGCCCCTGGGCCTGTGCGCCCTGGTGCTGGCGCTGCTGGGCGCGCTGCCCGCGGGCACCAGGGCGCAGCCGTACCACGGCGAAAAGGGCATCTCGGTGCCGGACCATGGCTTCTGCCAGCCCATTTCCATCCCGCTGTGCACGGACATCGCCTACAACCAGACGATCCTGCCCAACCTGCTGGGCCACACAAACCAAGAGGACGCGGGCCTCGAGGTGCACCAGTTCTACCCTCTGGTGAAGGTGCAGTGTTCTCCCGAGCTGCGCTTCTTCCTGTGCTCCATGTACGCGCCCGTGTGCACCGTGCTGGATCAGGCCATCCCGCCGTGCCGCTCGTTATGTGAACGCGCCCGCCAGGGCTGCGAGGCGCTCATGAACAAGTTCGGCTTCCAGTGGCCTGAGCGCCTGCGCTGCGAGAACTTCCCGGTGCACGGCGCCGGCGAGATCTGCGTGGGCCAGAACACGTCGGACGGCTCGGGGGGCGCGGGCGGCAATCCCACCGCCTATCCTACGGCGCCCTATCTGCCCGATCTGCCCTTCACCGCGCTGCCCCCGGGGGCCTCCGATGGCAGAGGCCGGCACGCCTTCCCCTTCTCGTGTCCCCGCCAGCTCAAGGTGCCCCCCTACCTGGGCTACCGCTTCCTGGGCGAGCGCGACTGCGGCGCCCCGTGCGAGCCGGGCCGGGCTAACGGCCTCATGTACTTTAAGGAGGAGGAGAGGCGCTTCGCCCGCCTCTGGGTGGGCGTGTGGTCGGTGCTGTGCTGCGCCTCGACGCTCTTCACCGTGCTCACCTACCTGGTGGACATGCGGCGCTTCAGCTACCCCGAGCGGCCCATCATCTTCCTGTCGGGCTGCTACTTCATGGTGGCCGTGGCGCACGTGGCGGGCTTCCTGCTGGAGGACCGCGCCGTCTGCGTGGAGCGCTTCTCGGACGACGGCTACCGCACGGTGGCGCAGGGCACCAAGAAGGAGGGCTGCACCATCCTCTTCATGGTGCTCTACTTCTTCGGCATGGCCAGCTCCATCTGGTGGGTCATCCTGTCCCTCACTTGGTTCCTGGCGGCCGGCATGAAGTGGGGCCACGAGGCCATCGAGGCCAACTCGCAGTACTTCCACCTGGCCGCGTGGGCCGTGCCTGCCGTCAAAACTATCACCATCCTGGCCATGGGCCAGGTGGACGGGGACCTGCTCAGCGGGGTGTGCTACGTGGGCCTGTCCAGCGTGGACGCGCTGCGGGGCTTCGTGCTGGCGCCTCTGTTCGTCTACCTCTTCATCGGCACGTCCTTCCTGCTGGCGGGCTTCGTGTCGCTCTTCCGCATCCGCACCATCATGAAGCACGACGGCACCAAGACGGAGAAGCTGGAGAAGCTCATGGTGCGCATCGGCGTCTTCAGCGTGCTCTACACCGTGCCGGCCACCATCGTGCTGGCCTGCTACTTCTACGAGCAGGCCTTCCGCGAGCACTGGGAGCGCACCTGGCTCCTGCAGACGTGCAAGAGCTACGCCGTCCCCTGCCCGCCCGGCCACTTCCCGCCCATGAGCCCCGACTTCACGGTCTTCATGATCAAGTACCTGATGACCATGATCGTGGGCATCACCACCGGCTTCTGGATCTGGTCCGGCAAGACCCTGCAGTCATGGCGCCGCTTCTACCACAGACTCAGCCACAGTAGCAAAGGGGAGACTGCGGTATGAGCGGCGGCTCTTCTCCCAGCCTGCGACCCCCCTACACACACCCCGACTTCTTTGCTGGGGGGAGGGGTAGGGGAGAGGCACTCACTATAGGGAGCGAAGTGCTGGTTTGAGGGGAGCTGGCAGGGGGGAAGCTGGGTTTCGTAACCACCCCCTCCACTGAGAGTTGACCTGGAAATGAGAAGAGATTGGAAGTGATGGGAGGTTTGGAGAGGAGGCTGGGTAGAAAGGATGAAAAGACTTCTGGCAAAGACTTGCAGGAGGAGGAGGAGGAGGCGTTCATTGTGAAAGGTTTGGGCTGGCTAGAGCCAGTAGAGTCGGCTGAGAGCAACCGAAGCTGCTGTGAGTTCTTCCCGCTCTGGGCCGAGCTGGGGCTGCGAGCCGTCCTCCCCCCGCTGCAAGGCAAAAGTGGCTGCCCTGGCTCCTGAAAGGCCTGCGGAAAAGGTACGGCTCTGTCTGCAGCCGAGGCTTTGTTGGGGAGAGGGGGGACCCCTGCGGTGTCCTTGTCAAGCAGTGTTCAAACCATAATCTCTTTTCACTAGGGCCAAACTGGAGCCCAGATGGGTTAATTTCCAGGGTCAGACATTACCGTCTCTCTTCCCCTACCCCCCTCCCTCCTGTTTTTCCTCCCCTACTCCTTTCAAGTCTTGGAAAATAAGCATTTGGAAGTCCTGGGAGGCCTGCCTGCCTGCCTGCTACAATCCTAACGTGAAGATGCAGAAGTGACGGTCACATTTCAAGATGAGGCCATGGAGAAGAGGAGTAGCTATTTTGGCTACTTTTTCGTTTTGTTGGGAAGGCAGCCTGCAGAAAGAAGGGTGTTTTATTTTATTTTATTTTATTTGGTTTAATACCTTGAAAAGAAGTGATGACTTGTTGCTTTTCAAAACAGGAATGTGTTTTCCCTCTTGTCTTTGTTATAAGAGACAAAAGAGGAAACAAAAGTGTCCCTGTAGAAAGGCATAACTGTGAAGACAGCAACTTTTATAGGTAAATCAGCACAAATCTGAGGTTTCCTTTTAGTTGTTAATTTGGTTGAGATAAACATTCCTTTTTAAGGAAAAGTGAAGGGCAGTGTGCTTGCATACCCTCTCAGCCCGCGGATCTGACTTGGATAAAGGAAATGCAAGGGGTTTTGTTTGTTTAAAGCACGTTTAATTCAGAACATATGATCCAACAGGGTCTGTTAAAGTGTTTAGGGTAATCCTCCCCCCCCCTTTTTCTTTTCCTAGCTATAAGCTTACATTTAGCCTTCATCCTATTTTTCCCCTCCAATTGGGATACTTCAAGATAAAAGACAAAAGCATAATGCCCTCAACAGATTCATAAAAGAAAGTTAAAAATTTAAAGGTTAAATTCAAAATTTTTATAGTTAAAAATTTTAAAGTTAAAAGGTAAACAACCATTTTATTTTATTTTTCTAGTTCCATATGTCTTGTAAAAACATCATGTGTATATTGACCCTGTCTCTGCTTGGGTGGGGAGGTGATCTGCACACTGCAGAAATGATAGTAAATGAAGCAGAAAGTTTGAACCATGGGCCCCATTTTTTAAAGAAAGTCATTAAAAAAAGGTAAACTTCAAAGTGATCCTGGAGTTCTTTGAAATGTGCTGGAAGACTTAAATTTATTAATCTTAAATCATGTACTTTTTTCCCCTTATACTAGAACTCTGGTTCTTTTGCTTAATGATGTAAAACTGAGCAAAGGATCGTGGGAGCTGACCGTCACTTGGCTTTGACACTGCCCTCCAATCTTGCCACACTGATTCTTAGAGCAGCTTTGAAGGGCTGGTCAGTGGATACTGTCTGTACAAGTTACTTAATATATGTAACATTTGGTTGAGAAGAGCTGCTCTTACATGAGATTGCAAAGTTGACTTGTATTTTTTAAACCTTCAAAACTGACTCACCTGTCAGTTGTGGTTTTGGTTGTTTTCTTTTTAAATGCCACCACACAGGTTTTGGCATCTTTTGTGTTGTATCTCTTTTAAGTGCATGTGAAATTTGTAAAATACAGACAAGTGCAGTATGTATATTTTGTAAATCTCCCGTTTTTGTAAGAAAATATATATTGTATTTATACATTTTTACTTTGGATTTTTTGGTTTGTTTTGCCTTTAAAAGTCTACAATGAAGCCCTCACTTTATCACATGTACAGATCACAAATAAATTTTTTTAAAAACACAAAAGGAATATTTATTTGCTTTAATATTCCTGTGCCACTAATGGGGGGGGGGACCCAAAACTTTATTATAAAAGCATCTGAGGAGCTGGGAATATGGCTTAGTGGTAGAGTGCTTGCCTAGCATACATGAAGCCCTGGGTCCAATTCCTCAGTACCACATGAACAGAAAAAGCCACCAGAAGTGGTGCTGTGGCTCAAATGGTAGAGTGCTGGCCTTGAGCAAAGGAAGCTCAGGGACAGTGCCCAGGCCCTGAGTTCAAGCCCCAGGACTGGGAAAACAGAAACATCTGACCGACACCATTGGGTATGTCCCCCAAAGATGATGTTATTCAGGTCTTGACTCTCCTGGAATTTTGTGGCTGCTTCCTGCTTCTCTTCACAGTCACCCCACATACCCTAGGCCTTTTCTCATCAAGCTTTGGTCAACCTACTAGAGGTACAGAACACACATTTCCTCAGAGCAGCCCTATGTTCTATGCTTACTGAATGAAGAACTAAAAGATACTTTGTGACTATGCAAGAGCTAAAAGATACTTTGTGACTATGCTGTGCTGTTTATCTAGAGATCCCTATACCCTTGGGAATAATTCAGATGCTGAGCACTGGTAGCTGTTGCCTATAATCCTAGTTACTCAGGAGGCTGAGATCTGAGGCTCAAGGTTCAAAGCCAACCCAGGCAGTGAAATTTGTGTCTCCAACAGCTGTGGCTCAAGTACAAGAACACTTGAGCAAAAGAAGTCCAGGGAAGGCCAGCAGGCCCTGAGTTTAAGCCCCAGGAGGAATGGAGGAGAGAGAAATTTAGTGAGCTTGGGAGCTAGGGAGATACCTCCTAATGTACTTTATCTAAATAGTTAATACTTGGGTGTCCTAACTGTAGGGAAAGTCCACTGAAGCTTCCAGATAAGAGCGGAAGTCTGTTTCTAGAGTTTTGAACTAAAGGCTTCCCTCTACCTTCTAGGTAACCTGAACAAGAGAACAGCAGTGACTCAGCAGCTCTGGCAGAAATAGACGCCAGGCCTGACCCTGGGGTGGCCTCAGGAGCCACCAGGCTATTCTTTGCTCTTGTGGAAGAGGCCAGCTTAGGAGTCAGATGGGGCTGGAAGGCCTCTCTCTCTCTCCCCCCAAACACTTTGACATTACTGACATTACACAGCTCCTAGGGGGCTGCTCAAGGCTTTCTCAAACTCCCAGGAGCCTCATATTCCTTACCAGGGTTTTTCCGCCCACCTCTTGTTTAATTCAGGTGCCAGCTCCTCCACCTCCCCCCCCCCCCCCCAGCAGCAGTGGAGACCCCGCAGCAGGCTAGGTTCTGCTGTTTCTCCAAAAGCATAACAGAAACAGTTGTGTTTTTGTTTTAATTAGCAGGCTTACACACATGGTGGTGGGTTTTCACAAACGCTAGCAGGAAAACCAGTGACAGACAGATCGCTCCAGGAGGAGGAAGCTGCCTGTGTGTAGACACTGCAAAGCCGATTGTCTTTACGATCCTCCCGGGGTTTTGAACCTCACAATGAGGGTGAAGTCATCCTCACGATGGAGATTTGGGCATCAAGGGAGGAAGAAAAGAGCGACTTCAAGTCTCTTAAGGTTTATCCAGTTTTTCCTCATAAAATGACACCCTTTATGTTAAAGCATGCCTCTTTTAACACCTTGCTAATACCGCCTGTTAAGAATGTTTGCTTTCAGAGTAGGTGGAAGATTCCCAATGGGTTTTTAGGGTTTTTTTCTTGCAAATTAAGTGCTAAAGGCACTTAGGCCTTTCTGGGGAGCCATGTGGCAAGCCCCTTCCCTATGTCAGGGTTGCATAGTGTTGCAGGGCTCTTAAAGATTAAATGATGTTGGTCCTTCACTGGAGAACAAAGACAGCATGTGAATAAATTGCTACCTGCTTTTTTGGTAAGCAGAGATAAAAGTGTTCACGTTAATTCCTTTCACATGGTGATGCCTTCTTTATGAAGTCTTACCTAAGAATTATAGGCAGTGGAGGATTTTTCTTAAGGGGATACATTTTAGCAGAAAATAGGTGAGGGAGAATATTTGTCAAAGAGCACACAGAGAGTTGGAGAAAAACATTGGCAGCAGTTTGGTGTTAATCCCCAGATAAGAAGCCAAACACTTGTGAAAATTTTCTGCAGTTTATAAAACAAAACCAGTCTATACAACAATCCCATGCCATGCTTACTCTTTTAAAGTTAAGTAGGTGAGAAATTTTTGGCCAAAAATAATTGTCTTGTTAACATCTTACCGTTAATTTTTTTTGAATATGCTTGCTGAAAAATGGTGATATTAGAAACTCGGATAGAATGATAGTCATATAACGGCTGTGGGTTTGAGTCCTGTAATTATCCTGAGGAAATCTCCTCCAACTCTCCCATCTTTAATTTCACTGCAAAGGCAGGTGGCTATTTATAGATGGTATATTTATATATAGACATATGTGCACAGTGAATTCCAGTCTACAAGGCTCCAGGAAATCCTAGAAGGGACCCAAAATTCTCAGCACTTAAATAAACAATTCATAGATGGGGTCTGTTTTCCTCTTAGCCCTTTGGTGCATTAAACTAGTTTCATAAAGTTTACTTCTTAAGTTCGTTTTATATGCCTGTGTGACCATACTGGGGCTTGAACTAAGGGCTTGAGTGCTGTCCCTTAGCTTTTTCTGCTCAAAGCTGGTGATCTACCATCTGAGCCACACCTCCACTTCCAGCTTTTTGCTGGTTAATTGGGGGTAAAGATTCATATAGACTTTCCTACCCCAGTTGGCTTTGAGCTATCGTTCTCAGATCTCAGCCTCCTGAGTAGCTAGGATTACAGATGTGAGCTACTGGCACCCAACTTTAAATTCTTCTCAATATATGACTTTTCTTATATCTAAATTTGTATTCCTCCGATTTCATATGAAAGCAAACTAGTTAAAAGGTATCATGAAAATGTCAGTTCTTTTTAGTAAACATACGCTGTGTTGCTTATTCTCTTTGGCTGATTTTTTTTGAAGTCTTTTAGAATTATTTCAATATCACTGTGTAGAGAATAAAAGCACATTTGACAATAGTTTATTACAAGTGTTCTATTTCTACAAGCACTGATCAACAGCCAGTAGGTAGAAGGTACCAGAATCTCAATGCATGGAAGTGAAAAAGACAAAGATTATCTGCAGTAGGTAACACCAGGCCTACTTCAGAGTGAGGATGACATCTCCCGAGGAAGAATAAGGAATTGACCACAGTGTTGGGCAGTCTTGGCAATGGCATGAGAGAAATACCATTATGCTATTAAAATAATATTGCCTGATATTTGCTGGCATTTAGTGTTTTTAAAGGCTCATTATTTGACTTTATCCACTTACTCAAAGGCTAACATGAAAAAATAATTCCTATCTGAAAGATGAAGCAACTGAAAGACTTGCTGAGCACAAAGATATGAGTAGAAGAATGAAACTTGTGTGTTCTCACTAAATTCCATGCACTTTTTATTTTCTTTTTTTGTCAGTCATAAAGCTTGAATTTGGGAACTGATGCTTTCCTGAGCTCTCTTGCTCAAGGCTAACACTCTACCTCTTAAGCCATAACACCATTTCTGGCTTTCTGGTGGTTAATTGGAGATAACAATCTCACGGACTTTCCTGCCTGGACTGGCTTCGGACCATGATTCTCAGATCTCAGCCTCCTGAATAGCTAGGATTACGGGCATGAGCCACCAGTGCTGGTCTCCTTTTTTTTTTTTTTTTTTTTTTTTGGGTCCGGTCGTGGGGCCTGAACTCTGGGTCTGGGCGCTGTCCCTCAACTCTTCAGCTCAAAGCTAGCACTCTACCACTTGAGCCACAGCGCCACTTCCAGCTTTTTTCTTTTTGCTTATGTGGTGCTGAGGAACCGAACCCAGGGCCTCATGCATGCAAGGCAAGTGCTCTACCACTGAGCCACCTTCCCAGCTCCCAGCGCTGGTCTCTTGAGGCACTTTCTGTAGCCTGTCACCTGGCCTCTCTCCTGGAACTCTCATATTGTGTGACATCTTGTGCTGTTTTAGATCAGTTTTCTTGCTCTGTGGGCCTTGCCTGCTCAGGGTGCAGACACCACAGAGGCCAAGGCCCTCTTCCAGCACACTATGATTATGAGCATATGTATTGTATGGTACTAAACTTGCCCACCACAGCTATTTTCAAATCTCTGACTGGTTGATTTTTATCTCCTGTAGGTCAGTGAGTCCCATCCTTCAACCAACAACATCAGAGAATCCTCTGAGCAATATGAACTTTAATGTTGACCAATCCAAACTGATAAAATAATAATAATAAAACAGTAATAATAATAATCTTATGGTGGGCACAGATGGCTAATGCTAGCTAATCCTGGCTATTCAGGAGGCTGAAGCCTGAGGATCTTGGTTTGAAGTCAGCTGGAGCAGACAAACCCACAAGACAACTTTCTTTTCCCAAGACAATTCTACACTGGCAAAAATAAAAAATTGGAGGCATGGCTCAAGTGGTAGAACATCAAACACTAGTATAAAGCCCTGAGCTTAAGTCCCAGTGCCCTTACACACACACACACACAGAGAGAGAGAGAGAGAGTTAAAATCTCTACTGTATTGCTACCTACTGATAGTTCATCTCCCTTAAAATCCAAGATGGCCAGGCATGATGGTGTGTGCTTGTAACCCCAACATTCTGGAGGTTGAGGCAATTGATTGGATCAAAAGTCTAGTCTACCCTGGGCTACATAGTGAAATTCTGTCTTAAAAAAAATAAACAATAAAACAACCCAAGAAGTTGTAGTCCATAGAATCTTGGGTGCCAAACATGTGGCCATTTGACAGCCCAGTTTAGCTAGAGTCTTGGTAAGCTTAGAATTTCTGGTGCTGGATATTTCAGGACCAAACTTGTATTGAAATGGTTGTAATGCTAGGAGAGAGATTCTGATCAGTTATGCATAGACAGGAACTTAAATGCTTCTCTAGGTTCCTAAAGCCCCTTTCAAAAGACTTCCGACAAAATA